GGGGGGAACCACTGATCCCTGAATTACTGGGGATAACAAATGAAAAAACAGTGGGAGTGGGGTCAAAGGTTGAAAACCAGAGATCCAGAGCAGGATACTGAGCAGAGAACCCCCAACAGCACCCTCAATGGTAGCTAGGGAGTCAGTGGACACAGCCCAGAGAAACTCTGCCCAGAGGCGAGATCATATGAGGGATTGGAAATAGGGCCCCCAGTTGCAGAGCACCCTTCCCCCATTGGAAGTTGTGTAATGAATGAGGCAGGGATTGCAGGAAGAGAAAGGATGATCTCCTGGTTAATGTAGTTGAATGCTGCCCTGGGGAACTGGAGTCTATCTTTGCCTCTGGCACAGTTCCTAGGTGATGCTGGGCAAATCACTTAGCCATATTTTTCACAGGTGGTCACTAATTGTGTGTTCCTCATTTGCTGGGTACCTGACTTGATACCCTGTGGTCTGATTTGCAGAAATGCTGAGCACTCTCTGCTCCAGCTGAAGCCAATGGGAGCTTTGCTTTGGACATCCAAAGTGGTACATAATGCTAAATACTTTGAAAAATCATGTCCTACTTGTCTCAAATTGGGCACCCAACGTTAGTGGAGACTTTTTACCATAATCTCTGTGGCTCGGTTCCTTGCCTGTAAAATAGGGATAATACCAGCCCTTAACCTCAGAGGGGCGTTGTGAAAATAAATTGTTTGTGAAACATCCATATACTAGAGTGATGAGCTCCATAGAAAAGCCCATGAGGAAGTTAATTCTGTCTTCAGAGCATATTTTCAATAATGTACAATAAATAGAGCATGGGGCTATACACTGAACAACAAGGAGAAAACAAAACATTAAATATCTGCACATTCCGTGAGCATGGAACATCGTGTAAAGACTGCACCCTGAGCATATGCACAATGGGAGAGAATTAAGGTTGCATCAGATGCATAATACAAAAAAAAGTGTTCTGTGAATGTTTGAATTTGTAAATTATTTTGCTTCTGCTGTGTTTGCACATTCATGATGTTCACGGTCCATGAATATTTGAGCCAGTGGGCCAGATCCTCAGCTAATGCAAAGCAGCATTTTGTTCCATTGATTCCAGTGTTACACTGATTTACACCAGCTGAGGATCCAGCCCTAGGACACTACTGCCAGGAATGCCCACAGCAGTAGTACATTTTAGCAATTATTGCAAAATATTCTATAGAAAATTGTGACTGGTAACCGTGAGTATTCACACCAGGAACCATAGTAGTTACCTTCATCATCCAAGGAACAGAATAAAAGCATGATGGATGTGTCTCATCAAATACTCAATCTCTAATAGTCATGGTGAACTGCTTGTGAATGAGCTACAATCTAAGAATTATTGGCAGAAATTATATGAAAAATATGAATGGCTGCCTGGGAGAAAGAATTCCATTAGGAAGGAATGGATTCTAAGGTCATAGGGTTGAGTTGAGCCCTGAGCTGGTAAATGAAATATTAAGTCCCCCAACTCATTTGGTCTGGACAGTATGAAATGATGGCCTATTAGCAGCACTGACTATCTTGCTTTTCCCTTAGGTGATAGTTGGAGTTTGTTCCCACCTTCCACTGCTCTGTGAGCAGTAAAGAATGCAATGGCAGCCAAAGTGCTTTTCCTGAGAGAAGCAGGATGGGGTCGTCTTTACAAGGGCACAGTTTGGCTTCTCCACATGCAGCTTTGGAGCATCAGACATAGGCCACCGCAGAAGTAGGGCACAAGAGTTGTTGGACTGTGGGACTGATGGGGTGTAGCAACGTGTAAATTTAGATGAGGGTTTACTGGAAAAAATGAAAGACTTTTCCCAAGGGTTTTCTTTCTAGCTTTCTCTCCTCTGTCTTGGTGCCTGCAAGCCACTTTGAGAAATCAGCAACTGTTTCTGTATAAGGTGTGACCAAACAAAGTCTAACCAAAGGCCGAGAGAAAATGAGTCAAATTGTGTAATGTTCCATCTTCACTGATTCCCTGAAAATGGGCATGAAAATCCCATGCTGTCCGGAAATGTATCCAGGGTCCTCCAACACACACTGCAAGTCACAGCAATTGTCATGCTTTTCCCCCCCCCCCCCCCCAAGAACTATCCTCCTTGCTGTCTTCACTGGCATTTACCAGTTCCTTGAGAACTTCAGATTGTGTTTCCCAAGGGCAAGGGCGTAGTCATTGTTCTACATCACCCTACAATTAGTGCGGACAAGGAAAAAAAACAACCAACCCCCACCGTATAAGTCTCTCAGGGGGCAGAGGAAATGAGACACTTCTTTTGCTACTTAGAGACCAGAATGTACATTGCTGATTCCATCAATGAGCCTACTAAGGTGCTGGAACTTTCATTTGAAAGTGATGCTTGCTATGAACAAGTCACTTTTTTCTTATTAAAAGTAATTCTCCAGGCTTCCCACTTCTATTCTATACTCCCTCTCTTTATTTTATTCAGTTATATCCTCTTCCTATGGCCTGATACTGAGAAAAGTAACACTCATGTACCATTACAGTTGGGTTCTTCCAGTCACCCGTGGCAGTTGTCAATCCTCAGCACCTTTCTGAGATCAAGATCCTTAGTCTATCTGCTCTATCAGGCCCATACCTTGTGTGGTGCTGTGCTCAGCTGCTGTTGATTTAAATCTAACCCCTAATTCACTGACTTCAGTGGGAATTGCAAGTGGGCTGGTTCAGGCCTTAATTCTCCCTGGCTTTTGCTGCTGTTCTATACCACACCTTCCTTGTCTTCTCTCCAGCTGCCATTTTATGATATATGTGTAACCCACTATACTGAGCCCTTGTAATGAGATATATAATCTGTTAAGCACTTGTATTACCTTTGTATTAAGGATAATATGTAACCATCAATTTTATTCTATGCAGATTTATTTGCTTCTGCATTTACATCCAGCTGATGTGCAGACAACTGAACTGATCAGTTTTTATTCTGCAAAGACTTAACGGGGGGGGCTTAACTGGCACGGGCAGTAGTTCCCTTGAGTTCAGTGGAGTTGTGAAGTTACAGGTGCATAAGCCTTTGCAGCCCTGAGGGCATCACTAGACAGTTCCTTCCCCAGCAGGCTTCTTGTGATGCATCTGGTAAATATGGATCCCGAGCGTAGGATTTTCACAAGCACTCGGCTTTGGTCGCACTTTGCTTCCCTGGAGGGCAATAGCGGCTGAGTTAGGACAATGCTGAATGTTGTTGAAAATCCTACCCTGAAATATTGAAGACCAAGGAGCATGGCCCCGAAAGGGCGCAGCTTTATCCTCTATCGCTGCTGCCACTGTCACCCTCCTTTTACAGCTGTCCTCTTCTGCAGTCCACTAACCCATCCTGTGGTCAATGAATTAACAAGATCAGTGAGGTTTCCTTGTGTGGCTGTGCTACATCGCTTCAACCACAAGTGAAGGGCTGGTTCTTCTGTTGGGGTGAGACAGATCCCCCTATGCGTCCCCCTGGTTGAAGAGGAATTTGTCATGTAAAAAGAAAAGTGTTTTGTCCATTTAAAAGTGAGAAGGGGGGTGCTCTAAATAGGAAGTTGGAGGCAATGCACTAACTTTGCTAATGCAGCTTCGGCTCCCTGCAACTTCGAGGCAGAAACTGTCACACCTCCCCCCTGGGGTGGATGTAGCAGCAGTCTTACACGAGACTCATTCACTGAGACCCCCCCCCCCCCTTGGTGCTCGGCAAGGGCTAAGGCTTTATAACCGATCCCCCAATCACTTTCCGATCCCCACCACGAACGAGCTCCCTCTAGAAAATGCAGATTTGAAAGCCTGGCCTCGCCAATCACGGAAGGCCAGGAAGGTGTGTGGGAGGGGCAGAGCCAATCAGGAGGTGGCAGGTAGCTTGTGAATGGGGGGGGTGGGGAGGTGAAGCTCAGCCAGTCATGGGGATATGGGGGGGGGGGGGACACTCGCTAATCCCCCGGCTGCGCACGCGGGGGGGGCACCACGCGCGGAGACATCAGCCAGGCGGAGGGGGGGGGGGGCTGTGGGCAGCACCCCGGGGCGGCTCCCCGGCCTCAGCAGCGTGCGGCGGGGGGAAGGGACTTGGTGCGAGGGGCTGGGCAGGCGGTAGCCTCGGCGGAGGGCAGGGCTGCTCCGGCAGGAGGCGGAGTCGGACCCGGGGCCGGGCTCACCTTCCAGCAGAGGGAGAAAAGGTGCCGCGCTGGAGGCAGGGAGGACCGAGCCCGGGCAACTTTAAAGCGGACTCGACTTCTCCTCTGGGAGCTGCTGCAACGCAGGTGTCCCCCCCCCCCCCCCCCCCCCCCCCCCCGCGCCCCGTCCGCCCGAAGTCCAGCGGCTGCGGCTGCAGCGCCCCGGCCCCGTCTCTCGGCGCAGCCCGGCGGCCCCGGGGCATGGAGAACGCGCACAGCTCGCCGGCGGCCGCGGTGCTGCAGCGCTTCGGGGTGCAGGAGAGCTGCGGGCTGAGCCCCGAGCAGGTCCGCCGGAGCCGGGACAAGTACGGACCCAATGGTGAGTCTGCGCCGCGCGCGGCGGCCCGGGTCACCTGTGTGTCTGAGGGGGGAGTAGAGGGTTTGGGGGTGTCTGAAGGATGAGTATACAGGGGAAGGAGGTGGGGGTACCTGTGTGGGGGGGGAGGGGGAGGTAGAGGGTTTGGGGTATCGGGGCAGTATCTGTGGGGGAAAGGGGGAGGTAGAGGGTTTGGGGTATCTGAGGGGGGGAGGTAGAGGGTTTGGGGTATCGGGGCAGTATCTGTGGGGGAAAGGGGGAGGTAGAGGGTTTGGGGTATCTGAGGGGGGGAGGTAGAGGGTTTGGGGTATCGGGGCAGTATCTGTGGGGGAA